CACCTGTAGCGGCACCCAGGGAGCTGGGGGTTAAGGGCCTTGCTCAAGGACCCACAGACATGCTGAGGCTGGGTTTAATCCAGCAACCTTCTGATTAGAGGCACACAGGCTTAGCCCACTGAGCCACACGCTGCCCCAGGTATCGCCTCATGATAGCAGTAGTGACACTGATCGTAGCCAAATGCTAAACTAGTGAAAAAACTGTCAGAAATGATGAGGGGAAAATGTCAGTGGCCCCCACCTGTTAAACCATTGATGCTTTGGGGGTCGTCTCATTTTTGCCCCTCTAGTGCACCTGTTGTTAATTATATTAAAACCAAAGCAGCAGAAACTGATTGACAACCCCATCTACTACTTAACTGACCAGATCAATATCCCAAAAATTTAATTGACTTGATGCTATACTCTGATTAAAATGTGTTCCTTTATTTTTTTTAAGCAGTGTATAATAACATTCTGTCACTGGAATGTGTCAGATACATTGACTGCTGTATCTCCTGCCCTCTAATGGTCAAATGCAGTCACTGGTAGATATGCAGGACCTATGAGAAAATTGGCTTTTCAGCAGTTGAGAATGTTAGGTAAGTGTAAAAGTCTGGGAGTGGAATAAAAAGAATTTCTCGTAGCTTGAACTTCATTTCATAGCTTAATCATAATAGTTTTGTTTCTACTTTTACTTCGTCAACAGAGCATCAACAGAGCTTCAATGGAGAGTCAACAGAGTATTGGCAACTGTTACACACAATGTGCCTCAGCACTCAGCGACCCCGTTCTGCTCTGTCACTTCATGGCTGAGTTTCCTTTGTTCTTAAATGCTTCCACTTTGTATTAATAACACTTACAGTTGACCGTGGAATATCTAGCAGGGAAGAATTTTTACAAAATGACTTATCGCAAAGGTGACATTATATGACAGCACCACGCTTGAATTCAGTGAGCTCTTCAGAATGACCCAATCTTTCATAAATGTTAACCTGAATGCATGTTTAGGTGCTTGATTTTATACACCTGTGGCAATGGGCCTGAATGAAATCATATAGGTGTGGGTTACTAGTTATTTATTATTCTCCTTATAGGAAAAAGAACTGATGTAGTGGCCATGTGGAAGATAACAGTGTTAGA